ATTTCCTGCTTTACATTGAAGGTTAGTTTTTCATGTGTGTATGAGTTATATTTGCTGATCTTTTCCTTCTTTCGGTGTTGTATGTGCCTGTCTCTCTTGGCCCTGCGAGAGACTGACGACCTGTCCAGCTGTAGCCTATTTGATTGCTTTTGCATGTTTCTTGTTCCCACCTGTGTCGTATTGTGGAATTAGCCCACTGTGTTTCTCTGGCCTTGTGTATATTTTGGTTTCCGTTGTTTTGCATGAATTGTTACTGTTCCCTGTATGCTTCCTTGTTCTCTGTTCAGTTTTACATAAACAGACTTTGTATTTTCTGATTTAGCTTTTTGGTTTAACGGAATTAAGGATCTGAAGACTGTGAAGGCCCTAACAAACCGTTCACTTTAATTTCATATTTACCTGTCAGGGACCCCCACGAGCCATATGCATGGGTGGAATGTCACTATGGTCCTGAAAGCTGAACTATGGACAAGACTCGAGAAATGTCAAAATTACTAAATTCTGGGTTCAGAGCGATTATCTGCACCAATCTAATCAAATAAATACAAGTCAAGATAAACATTTTACACTACTGGATACAGATGATTTACTTGGAACAACTTTTGCATTGATTTGCAAAGACCCTTTAATTTGTCACCCATCTGTAGCTAGCCTTGTGTAAAACAGTTCATACTGTTACAATATGTCATTTTATTTACTACTCTAACCTTTGTGATTATAATAGTTTTTATTTTATGTGACTAAGATTTTAAAGATGCTTTATTTGCATGCTTGGAGGCATTTTATCAGTCTGGATGTTTCCAGTAGAAAGGCGGCTTAGTTAACCTTAGTTCCTATTTTGAGTACTTTATTTCTTTCTCCCATGTAATGGGATTCCCTCTGACCTAACATTTGCCATCTTCATTCGTATGGGAGGAAAAAGGACCAAACTGGGACCAGCCAGGACAACACCTTACAGGGATTATGTCTATTTTGCTGTCGACTTGCTACATAACCACTCTGCTAATCTCTTTAACTAGATTACTGCAGCGACGGGCTGCTGCGAGAGGTACTGTGTCACCACTGTTAAATAGCAAGGTGAGGATCCCAGAAATCTTCAATCGCTTCACTGATCAGCTCGTTTTACTTTATTTCCTTCACCTTACACCCGCGTTACGTAAGGCGATGCTGTTGCATTTGCATGATGCTTTCTTACATTTAACCCAGTTATACAATACGTAATGTTAATTCCTTCATTCATCACACACCTACACAGGGTTTATTGTTATTTTGTCTTCTCTGCCGGTGAATCATTTCACACCGCATCAATTTGCATGATTATTCATCCATTTAGTTTTATGTAACAGCCAAAATCCCAAACAGGGTTTTGAAGCGCAGAGGTCGCTCTGATCCCAGACCATTATCTAAACTGACAAATTAACATTTCAAGCAAAATACTGAAGCTTTTGTATTCAGTGTAACGTTGACCATTGATATGTTTTATTTAATTTTCCACATCAAACTGTTCGAAATGCAGTCCGATATCGAACAGGTGTGGGAGAGCAGAGAGTGCACGGGAGCCTCACCTTCCACTACATGTTTACACTGGTTTCAGGTGGATTCAACACACCAAACTTCAAATAAAAGCTAATAATTAGTCCACTGTTAAAGCTAAAAACGTGTCTTCAGTGGGTTCATGCACTCGTGTTCTGGACATTCTTCTCCAGATGGGGGCAAATAAGTACTGGGTGTTTTTGTTTTTATTTTTTAACTCAGAGAATCAAGGTCAGCGTCTAAAAATATAGGTGTCTCTGATAAAAGGACATAAATCAGCAGCACATTGGTCTAAATGTTCTTCCCTTCTGATTTTTACCTCTCTTGTTTCTCCTTCCCTCACCTCTCTCAGCCTCTCCTATCCTCCAGTCTCTTTCTCTCACCCTGTGATTCTCAAGTCTATTTCAGCACCACGTAGGTGTGCTGTTCTAAATTAGAAGAGGCTTCTTACCACTTTCTCTTGCTGGAGGAATGACTCACTGACTGCACTTCACACTTCACACACAGCAACCCAGTCCCAGTGACTGCCTTACTCTGTCCTAATAATGCACAGCTGTGATGGAGGGACCTGCTTTTGTTCACCGAGTATGTGACGGATTTAGGCAAATATTTAGGAAATAGTTTTTTGTTTTGCTGCAGTTTGATAAACTACATGTTTACTGTTGGTCTGATAAGACAAGTGAATGCATCAACCACTTAAACTGCTGGTCTGCAGCTCAAATAAGCTCATGTTATCATTTCTGGAGCTTTCAGCGTCTACAAATCCATTTTTACACAGCAGAAGCTGAAGCCTATGTTCAAGTTCATGTAAATGAAACCTTTACTAATATTGCCCAGAATCGATGGAGCGTTTGAGGTGGACAGCTTGCATAAGCTCTCCTCTCTAAATGACTGCCAGCACATCCAGATATGACGCGATTAATTGTTGAATTCGAGTATTCAAGTGACAAACAAGACCTTTAAGGAAGCTTCACTAATGACCTGGGTGCCACCAAGTAACACGGTTAGCTCTTCTTTCTCTCACTTCCTCCTCTTCCTCCTCCTTCGTGTGTTTTCTTTTCGCTCCTCGGTCGTCTGCATTCACACTGTTAATCCTGTGGCTTGCAGGAAAACACCCACCTAGTTTGTTATGCAAGAAGCGCGAGGATGAGGATCAGCAACAATAGGCACAGCAGATTAGTGGCAGAGCTGCTGGCGGAGAAGACAGTGACGATCGCGGTGCTGTGGAAGTGACTCAATCCCCGTGGAGTTTCCATGGTTGGTATTACAAGAAGCACAGTTTGGGGTAAACAACACAAGAGGCATCCATACCTTTTCACCCCCTTCTTCTCTTTGTGTGTGTGTGTGTGTGTGTGTGTGTGTGTGTGTGTGTGTGTGTGTGTGTGTGTGTGTGTGTGTGTGTGTGTGTGCCATGACTCTTTTGTTGGTAAGGGACCAAGGCATGAGAGAAATTCAGTTGTCAATAGCGACTCCATGTCTTTCCAATTGATATGCAGGACACACACACACACAAACAGTGCTGTGAATGAGCGGACCATTCTCTATTTCCTCTCCCTCCCTCCCTCACACACACACATCCCTTCCTTCTGAATCACTGATCAGTCTGACTGATAAAGGACATTATCTGCTAAGAATGTTGTTTTAATTATTTATATATAACCAGTAAAACGTGTGAACGTCCCATTGTTCCACTGGTCGTGCTCACCCAGGCAAACCTCTGCAGTCTCGCACTTTCATAAAATGAGGTTTGGGGTTAATCTGCTATTTGCAAATGCTCCATGTTCTATATTAGAGCAGCTCTGTTATCACCTGGTTACATAAGCTGGATCCTGACGTTGGAAGAGTTGTGCTGCCCCCACATGGATGAAAAGATTTACTGCCCTTATTTTACGTCTCTTATTTGGAGTCACTTTCACGATGAGCAGCAGCTGACACTTGAAACAGCATAAGCACATTTGATGGACTTTTCAGTCGTATGTTTAGAAACGCTTCAATTTCACATTACTGTATATTTTTATACTTCCACAGCTGAAAGAACAATAAATATTTTTCTTCTTTTTAAAGAAGCCACACATGCATTTCACCTGTAATAATAAATGTGACAAATAAAGCTTGTCTGTTTGTTGTTTGTAATTCACAGTGATAAAGATGGCTGGTTGTTTGTGGGTCTGTTTGGACCAACAGGATGAGTCACTGCAGGACCAGGAGCACATTATGAGCTGAAATATGTTGTTTTTGTCAGTTACAGCATCATAGACACCATCATGCTGACAAACCAGTAATATAAAGTGTGGCTGATGCCAGAGCTCATGCTGATGTAATGTGCGAGACTCCCAAAAAGTTGATTCTGTTCATCTGGACGTTGTCAGTGAGAGAAACGTTTCGTCACTGATCCAGGTGACGTCTTCAGTCTCAGCTGACTGCAGGTTTCAAACCTTATAAACAGGACATTTGTACAATGACTGAAACCAGCACCACTGAATGAACAATGAGCTGGGAGGTCAGTTCCTTTATCATTAACATGCACATTGATCAAAGCCCACTGATCCATGGCCATGAGTCCCATTCACAGAGAGTTGGGGAATGGCTGCAATCACAGCATTGTAAGATGGTGACAGATGGACCCTTAGGCCCCCTCCTCGATTCAGAGATGGTCGTTCCCTTTTCACGTAAATGGCCTCTTTGACTCGGTGCTCCGCACGATGTGTACATCCTCATCATTGAAAGAGTGTCCACTGGCCTGTTGGTGTAAATCAGGGGTAGGCAACTCCAGGCCTCAAGTGCCGGTGTCCTGCAGGTTTTAGATCCCACCCTGGGAACTTCAAGAAATGCTGAGGAGTCATTTAGCCCTTTAAATCAGCTGTGATGGATCATGGATACATCTAAAACCTGCAGGACACCGGCACTCGAGGCCTGGAGGTGCCTACCCCTGGTGTAAATAGACTGCAGAGTCCTGGCTGACGAGGTAGCTCTCTTTGTTGTGCTAGAGTGGCATTGATCAATGGTCTTAGACCAGTGGTTGATGATCAATGGTCATGACAATCTGCATATTAATGATCATGAAACAGACCTCACAGCCCGTTGTTCATTCAGTGGTGCTGGTTTCAGTCATTGTGCAAATGTACTGTTTATAAGAAACCTGCAGTCAGCTGAGACTGAGGAAGTCACGCTGCGTCCAGGTGAACAGAATCAACCTTTGGGATTTAGCTGGATGATTGAGCATGCATCAAGACAAATACTGCAAACTTTTCTCTGATTACCGAGACTGCTGCAGCCGGTCAGTCCACAAATCCAAATAAAAGTTTGCATTTTGAGAAACAGCACTGACGGTTTGGCGCATGGAGGACATTTACAGGCTCACCCACGTTTGGGTCAACATAAAGATCACGCTTTCAAATAAATGAATCCCACAATACTGACAACATTTTTATTCAGAAGAGTTTATTTATGTATTTTTATTGGTACAGTTGTTTTAGTCACAGTGTGAATGAATTCACTTTAAAATCACTGAAGAGCTTCTATAGTCTGAGCCGGTCTCTACTCTACAGTATTTACAGAGCAGTTTGGGAATTCACAGTTTCGGTTTCTACTCAGCCTATTTCACACAAAGTTCCTGTTCCCCGTGTCTGTGCGCTGCTTTCATTTTTTATTGCGTGAGGTTTGTTTTTCCTACAAAGAGTTTCATTACGTCTGATCTGATTTATAACCAAACGGTGATCGACGTGACAGCATGATTCAAGCGAGTCTCATTCCAGTCCAACAAGCCTGTTTTCATCCATAACCACAAGATGGCGCCACTAGTCCGATGGTAGTTTGGCAGCTCGCGCCCACGTCGGTGCAAATCCACCTGAAGATGTGAAAACAAACACTGAACTCAGGGAAAGGGCTGGGAGAGCGAGGGAGCCGAGGTCTGATAGGAAATGGATCTGAAAGATAATTTATTATTTATTCAACGTTTTTAAATATATGTACACTATTTGTTTGTTGTTTCAAAAACAAGCATCGTGTAAACCTTTATTTGGTTTCCGATTACGTCTCACTGATAGTGGCCTAAATAAGGACATTTCATATTTGGAATATTTATGGATCAAATTAAGCGCTCAGGTTCAAAGCACTGTGCGTAATCTGATCGTAATCGCTTCTCCACAAGGATTAAATTAAATTAAATTAAATATTTAATTTCTACGTTTTCGTGCCTTACTTGCATGCAAGAAGACGTCCGGTGTCATTAGTCATAATCTTGAGTTTAAACACAACTTTGCGCCGCTTAAAAAGCCTGACTTGACATTTTAAAAACATCTAATTTTGAACCACTTTGAGCCTAAATCATATTTTCCCCGCCAAACACCAAAGTCAGCGTGTTTGTGCTGTTTGTCTGTCCTCCCTCACTGCAGTGTGTCGGTTTCCCGGTGTGTCTAAAATACGCATCGAGAGTCAGTTGTAGTGGTTGTTGATGGTGCTCAGACTGCTGATGTTGTTGACGCAGCCGATGTGGGACGGGGACACGGTGCCAAACGGCCCCGGAGGCTGGAGGTTGTGGCTGTGGTACAGAGCCGCTGGTGTGGAGCCAGCCCAGTAGGAGAACCCCGAAGGCCCCACGCCAGGAGCCACGAGGTTCAGTTTGGAAATCCCGGAGAAGGGGATCGGGGAGAAGTTGCCCTGAAATTTGTAGATGGCCTGCTCGGTGGTGGACGGCTGGCACACCTGCGCCAAGCCGTGGAAATCAAACTTGTAGGCGTATCTTTTGCCGTGGACTTTGGTCATGATGTTTTTGTCGTAGTAGTAGCGCAGCGCCCGGCTCAGCTTGTCGTAGTTCATGTTGGGTTTGCTTTTGCGCTCCCCCCAGCGCCGGGCCACCTCATCAGGGTCGATGAGCTTGAACTCTCCGTTGGTGCCCTCCCACGCGATGCATGACATGTTGGTGCTGTCAGAGAGGAGCTCCAGCAGGAACTGCCAGAGCTGAATCTGCCCACTCCCTGAGTGTAGGAAGAAAAGAAAATCACAACTGGTCCGGAAATAATCTGAAATAAATCCCGAAAACAACAACAAACCAAAAAATACAAAATTTTGTCTAGAAAGTAAAAAATGATATATCTAGATAGATAGATAGATAACTGGTCTCAAAATAACGGTTTACATAATTCAGCATTATCAGTTCATGAAAGATAATATTGTGAATTTCATCATATTTGAAAATTCAGGCATTAAATAATGTAAGACACGCAAAAGATACGCAGTTATTTTATTACATATAATTAAAGATAATAACTCCATCATGACATCATTTTACAAATCTCTATTTACTCCTCTAAAGCAGCTTAAATGGGTCCGGTTATATTTAGCTTCTCCATATTTTCTATAACATATATTTAAAAAACACGCTGCTCATAATCATCAGAAATTTAAAATAAATTAAAACATCTTTGCAGGAAGTCCTGAGAGCAGTAAGAGTGAATATTAGCGTCCAACACAAGACGTGACAAATTCATTTTGGCCGTTGTGTTTTTTTAATCATAAAATAAACACGATTTTTATTTTCTTTCGAAATGATCCCGGAGATGCTTTGATAATTATCTGTTTTAGAGGAGAAAAGAAAAATAATGTGATGGTGCAAAAAAAAAAAAACATGAGAAAAAGAACTGAATACGTTTCAGAACCGGCTGAATGATCTATTAAACCTAAAGACGCGACTATAGGAAATACATGAAACGCAGAGTAAACGCATTAAAATCCTGCTATTATTGTCATATATTTTGTTTTATTAACATTTATCATGATATTGTGATCAATATTTTTTTATTTCAGAAACTATTTTTATGTATCGACCCGTTTGCGATATAATTTGAGAGGTTTCTGTGGGACTATTTTCTAACATCATTTTTATTATTATGATATCATTTTTTATGTTTTCATATATCTTTGCGTTTGAAGACGCTCTCCATTAAAAATAAGTAAACTGCTAATTAGGAGCTGGACACTCCGCAGTGACGGTATTTAGCGTCTCTGCGGACGAGGCTCTGAGTTTGTCCTCTTACCTTTTTGAACTCCTGTATTTATCGGAGCCCAGGAGGTTCCTTTGCTTTCTTTCAACAGACTTTCTGTTGGATCTGAAATGAAAACAGACACATTTTCAGCATCTTCATCCAGAAACTACGACAAGAGGATTTCTTATGCAGATGATTTTTATCACTTGTATTTCAAAATATTATGATTTAATATTTATTTAGAAGAACAAAAATCTCTTCATGGTCAGATTTTATAGGCACAATCTAGCAAGAAGCTCAATATCTCAAGAAAGTAGAAAAATGCATTGAAAGAACCGGAGGACTGAGATTAGAGCTGCTCAAAAATGCTCCGATTTTTCTAAAATGTTGCAAACTGGAGCGCAAGGAAAAAAATACCAATAAAACAAAATAAGGTTTAAAAATTCAAACACTGAGCTTCAAAATTCCAATTGTATCCTGGTCCATTTGCAGTCTAATGCCTGGAGCATGTCGCCTTTGCAGTCTCTGCTAGAAGCCAGGAAACGCGTCCAGGAAAAAGGATTTCCGATTTCCGACAAAAGAGCAGACGGGCTTTCAGATTGAAAAGGCTGAACAATGCTCTGGCCTGGAAACGGAGCATCATCGCCGGCAGGACACCGACACCCGGAGAAAAATGTAAAAAATCTCGATAGATATATAAAACGGGCTGTTTCTCTCATTCTTAATGGGACCAAATGACGAACCTGAGAGATACATGTTGAACATGAGGTTTCCTCCGCAGTCCTGTCTCATTGTGTTCACTTGTTCAGAAAGGGTTGGATTTCATTTCGTTGGTGGCGGAGGAAAAGATTTTTATTAAACTTTATCTCATAACTGTGATCTGGAATAAATGCGGGTAGACAGATTGAAGTTTCCAGGCAACTGTCACTGGCCCCCATCTCTGAGACAATATTCAGACAGCAATTTCCCCTGGTGCATTGCTTTAATTAAAAGAGCAATTTACCTCTGTCAGCCCGCCTGGCGCCCACAATAAAAAGAGGCCAATAGAAATTCGGCCCTTATCAATCCACCATCACAGTTTAATAAAGTTTCCGCGTTAAGATCTGAGTTTCTATGGTGAATTGAAGTGTTTGACATGGAAACCAGTTCAGATCCTCCTCACTTTTCCGCCTCTTTACCTCTCGGCAAACAACAAAGACCTATTTCATGTTGGAAAAAGAATATTTACCTTGAAAAAATACGCTTCAGTGGCCACGAGAAAACAAGAACATTTCATCCCTCCTAACCTGCTCTGTGTGGGTTTAAGGTTATATGGCCTCAATCTGGGGGTAATGAGGTCGTAACTTTAAAACCATGCCTAGTGATGCTCGTTGACGTTATCGTGTCCACTCATAATTTTATACGTCTGTGTTTTTAGAAGCAGTGGAGTGAAAAGCCCATGGGCTTTATGGCCATGTGCTAGAGTCTGCGCATTTCTTCAGGCGTAAATAAGGCATCATACGGGCAACGCGGGCTGATGATAGAGCTTTATGCAACTAATAACACACATTACCTTTATTAAGAAAATCCTCCGCTGGGGAGCTTATAGTTTGAAAATTCAACATTCTTTAAATAGTGTGTCAAAGACGCAGTAACAATGTACCAAAATATTTAATATTTTAATATTTATTTAGGTTCTGGTGACTTAATGTCTTTAGAAATGTTCAGTGTCCCTGGTTTGGTTCCAGTACATTATATCATCCAACAAAATCCATTTTATTAAAAACACCAAATGCAAAGACTCTGACACGTTTTCTTCGTCTTTTTCCGTCCGCAACAACAGCACCAATGCATCATAACCTGACAGTGCAGCATATACCTGCTGTCTGTTAATAACATGGTCATAAACACAAAAGCACTTTCACTTCTGTCACTTGGCACATTTGAGCCATCCTCTTTGCCACCTCGAACAAAGATTTTAACAGATACATTGCTTTAAAAAAGGCTTCGCGCTGCTGCCTCACAGCAACAAATCCACTCTTTGACTTCCTCTCACATGCCTGTTAGAATAACTGGTGATTCTAAGTTTGCCATACCGCCCATAAACTGGCAACCTGCGATATGTTCAAAGCCCCGCCCACCATGACCCTGAACTGGACATGGATGCATAAACTAGTTCCTTTAATTTGCTGAAAATACATCTGGCCTTTGTAAAGCTGACATCTTAGTTCATAACATATAATCAGTCCTCTGTGCTGACTGAACTGAAAGTGAATATCTGCTTATCATTAATCATCTTTATAATGAGTCACATGACTGAGGTCAGACACGCACAAATGCACACGTGTTTATTTTTTATTTTTTAAAAAGCACCAGAGCATCAAGTGTACAGCTGTTTATTTTTATATGGTGAGTTATCACAGTCAAAGCAGACAGCTTGGAATAAAATATCAGCACCACACACACACACACACACACACACACACACACACACACACACACACACACACACACACACACACACACACACACACACACACACAGGAAAAGCTTTGTAACTGGCTGGTTCAGAGCTCATAATCATATATTTCACAGCATATTTTGTCCCCCTTCAGTTTGGAGATGTCCTGGTAGGTGTGTCTTTGGTGTTCAAGGCTTGCTTTAGCTGCCTGTGTAACAGATAAAATTCACAGGCAACTTAAAACAAGCCTCGAAAGCCAGAGTGAATCCACTGAAGAAGTGAAAGGAAGAGAAATGGATGCATAAACGTCCACCTGTGCTCAGTCTGAGGACAGAAATCCACTGGAGGAACATTCAAACTTAAAAGTAAAAATAAAAAAGAGTAAAAAAAGTCATTTATCTGAGCTAGAGCACATAATCTATAATATAAAAAGCAAAGTTAGCATCAGCCGGTAGCCAGGTGGTGTCATTTCTCACTTGTAAACCTAAAGAGTCAAAAGTGTCACTGTTAGCAAACCCCACAATAACCACCGGACTCAATTTGTTACTTGACAACTTTAAATATTCAAATCGAATGAAGTAACTTCATATTTTAAGCTGTAATTCTAAACCACAGACTAATCAACCCTGCAAACATTACGAAAAGCTGTAACAATGAAGTTTTCTCTGTAAAGTCTCGAGCTTACCTTGGTGCTCTGAGCTGTGCAGCTGTAACTTTCTTGTCTACTCAAGTGTCACTCCTCTGTAATCAGCGCTGCAGCGGCTTTAATCAGTCTGCAGAGGAATGTATATTTGAGAAAGGTGTGTGCCGCGTGGTTACACATTTATATAAAGATCCTGTTTTTTGGGTGTGGGACTGTGAAAGCTTTTTTTGGGGGTGTAACACGGAATCCTATGTCCTGGACCAACAGGAGGAGTGTAGGTGGAGGTAAACACACTCCAGGAACCCGGAGTGCGACTGTAAGATCAACATCACAGTGACACATCAGAGTGAGCAAACAAATGCTAAGCTACTAGACTTTCAAATGAAGTACTCACGGTATGCAAGGTTGAGTGTAATGCTGTGTATGCTGTTCACACTATTAAGGGCTGCTTTCGGATATCTCTTGATTTTATACTGCAGAGGCTGCAGTTTTCATTTGGATCAAACTGATCGATTAAGTTGTGAAACCTAAAATGTATCTAAACTTTTATCTGAAACTAAAACATAACATTTATGATGTTTTGTCTCTCGGGGAACTCCTGCTGGATTTTTTATTAAGTTTGTTAGCTTTAATAGCACTTTAACACCATCATAGCAGAGGAAGTCAGTTGAAATTAAATAAAAAGCCACTCATGCCCATGTTTTTTTCTTATTTACATATGTCTGTTAAGGAGTGTCAGCTGTCTAAAGGTGCCAGCTTTGAGTGGCCAACCGCCACATGTTGCTTTCACGGACCGTTGCCTTATTGGTCAGTTTGCCAAACTGTGCCTCAAACAGTTGAAAAACAAATAATAGAAACCAAAGTGATCTTGTGCTCTTGTTTATTGGAAATAAGAATACAGTATGACAAGAACAACATTATACATCCTGAAGCCTAACAGAATCAAATCTTTCCAGGGATGTTCACTGAAAGGCCAAATATGCACTTCAAATAAACACAAAGCAAAACCTGCCTCTGAGAACAACGTCTTCATAGAGCTACAAAGGTTTTGCAATGCTTGGACACCTGCAGTCTAACTGCAGGTACAGATTAATAGCTTAGTAGAAGTCGAGTATTACAGCCACTTTCTCTGAGCTCTTCATTTCCATTTATTCTATTTGGGTTGATAAACTTTCATGTAAAGAAAAAGAAAAAAGAAAAAGAATACCGACAAACAGTGTCTAGTTTTGAAGAAAAGCCTTTATTTCCTATTTCAAGAATTTCAAGAACATGCTTCAGCATGATAGTAGAAGTAGGTACTTAGATATCCATACATGCAGAGCCACAGAGTGATAGAAAGAGTTTGTCCATCTACTGTTCTGTGACAGCGATCTGTCCAGGGTTCAAGTTGAGAGAGCGATTATGGGGAGGGGTTTCTTTTTCAGGTGGGGTCAGGCCGGCAGTGTGGAGGCTTAGTGCTGGATCCTACGAATGGACTGCACCTGGTTGGTGTGAGCCTGGGTGCTGTACTCATTGTAGTTTCTGTACTCGCCTTGGTGTCTATCTCTCTCCAGGATGTACTGGTAGCCACGGTAACCAGGGAACTGGTAGGCAACCCAGCTGTAAAGAAGGAGGGGGGGTTAGAGTCGAGGTCACATCAAAGGATTCAGTAAAGCATCTTTGGGTTCTGCTAGTCTTTAAAGTTTAATGCACTTTGGTAAATTCAGTGCAATTACAAGGTTGAGCCTTCATATATTTTATAACACTGCACAAAGTCAGGAGACTGTGCAGCTCGTCAAGCTATATTTTGCAGCAGCGTGTTAAATTAAAAACTAACTTGAGTAAAATAAGAGCACAATATGTAAGTAAAAGCACGTGCACGTGTTGTTTATTTTAAGGAAAGACGTTGAACACAGAGAAAAACGTGTAACTTACGCTCCTGAGTTGACTTTGATAGAGGGCACCTCCTTGCTGCACCAGCCCATGGCCTGTAGGGATGGGTAGTCATCGCACAGCTCAAACTTACGGCCCTGGAAGTCTTCACACTCGTACATGGTCACCTTGCTGTCACTGTGGTTCTGCAGAGAAGCAAACAACTCATTTAGAAGCTGTTTTATT